GGTGACACTATCTATAAAACCAACCTATCTTAGATGGTAAACCTATGATGGTATACAGATTAATGAAGTAAACCAAATTATATGGCTTTTAAATTTCTCATTCTCTCTTTTTTTCTCACTCACACATTTGCTTTAGGTTTAATTGCACCATGTTGTCAATAGTCAAACAAAGAGGGAGAAACACTTTAAAAAAGATGTGGCAGCACTATGAAAACATTGGTAATGCATTAGAAAATTTTTCTCAAAAATGTACATTTTATACAAAATAAGATTGTATTTTTGTTTGCTTTTTTGCTTTACATTTTGCCAACCTAAGAATTCCCATTTCAGGCTTCCATTCTCATAATCCAAACACTATACATATTTTCTCTCAAAATAAATATACAGAATTATGTACAAGGTTGCAAGGCCCATTGAATCATCACTAACCCACTGTGAAATAATCACTAAAAACATTGTGAAAGAGTGGGAGGGAGCATCTCAAAGCATCTGATGAGTTCTATATCCCTCCCCACCCCCAGTTTAACCCTTGCCTAATTTAACTCCCTCTAATTTATTCCAACTTAAAAAATGGGCGTGAAGACGGTTAAAATAGTGGTATAAAGGCCAGCTTGACTTAGTTTTAAACAAGGGTGAGATGTACAAAATTTTGGAAGATGCAGTTTTATTTCCAGCAGACACCAGCTAAGACCCTGCATGGGGCAGGTCCCTTCTTGGAAGACCAGAGGTCCATCCCATGAAATCCTGCTAACACCCAGGGAAATGGCTCTGTCAGGCTGATGCCCTTGAAGGCCACGTTTGCAGAACAGACATCAGAGCCCGCCCAGGAATTAATGAAAAATTAAAAAAAAAAAAAGGGAAAAACAAAGAGCAGACAACCAAACCACCCTCTGCTGTAAGAGGATGTTTAAGTGGAGGAATTAACAAATTGTTGTATATTGATAATAGACATTATGGCAAATTTAGTATTCTTTTAGTTTCAGTAGGGGAGTGCAAAAGAGGAGGACACAACATTTTATACTGAGAATGTAAAGATTTTTTAAAAAATCTGAGTCTACATCTAGCTCTTTCTTTCATTGCTTCAAATGATGACTTCATTCTCTAAACAACATCTTTTGGTAAATGAGCTATTTTAAAAGGCGCTCATTGGTGAAAGATTAATTTCTTTGCCAAAATTTGCTCTAAAAGAAAAATTGCAACCTGAAATTGATCAAATCCATGATGTTTTCCAATGGAAAAGATCAAAGCACTCAATAGCCAAGCATTAGCACACCAGTGTGTTCACTATGAAATTATTACAAATCTTTAACATTCACATCTAGAAAAAGGTATGGTAATAATTAGAGATTCTCACAAAATAGAAAGAGGGCAAATAAAATCTTGTGCAGGCCCAAGGGACTGCAAGGAATGCCAGGCACTTTCTATCTTGGATGTTTGCCCCTATTTCTGTGTTGCATTTTTCTCATGAAACCTTTCTCCAGCAATAGATCTCATTCAAATTATAACTGGGAAGGGTTTCTTTATTTTTTTTTTCCCTTTAATAAATTCAATTAAAAATTCATCAGTTCTCCCAAACTCTAATCCCTACTTCTATTCTGTTTTAATGGCATGGATCTATTCACATTCATCCACCCATCTCACCCCTGATTAAATTAAGGTCAGTAACCTTTACAAAAGGCCACATGCGTAACACTCAGTCAAGTCATCAGGCATTCAAGTACCTGTAAAGTAAAGGCTAACATAGCCTGCTGTTAATGAAAAATAATAATAAAAAAAAACCTACAAAAGGAGCAACAAGGAATGAACCTTGTTTCAGCACCATCTGAATTGGGAGAGGAGAAAGAAAAAGAATAAAGAACCATTAACTTGCACCTAGGACATGACAAAAGAGTGATTTCATTCACTCACTAAGGAAACACAGCTCTGTCCAACATACATAGATGTGGGAGGCTTTGCCAGCTGTCCTTAGGAGCACTAGCCAGTGATGGCCACAGTGAGCATAACACATGGAGTCTCTGAGCTGGGTCTGTGTCCAGCTCTTCCCCTGGATCCTGGGGCCATGGACACGGAGACTGACGGCCGCTCTCAAGACTGGCCATGAGGGACATTCTTTCCCAGCAAGGCGACTTCACCCCGGTAACGCACAGCAAAGAGAAATGCTCCTACCTATCCACATCCCTTCTGGAGCTAAGCCTTCCATTGTTACTTGTTTAATTAGCAATCAGTAAACACAAGGGGGCTCGAATCACACTGAGAGTGAGCTTTTGCACAGTCTCTTTCAGCCACCCCAAAAAGTGACGATAACAGAATGTCAAACAGCTTAAAAGTTTGGCCTGACTTGCTGTACTCCAAAAATAGTGACTCCCTTTCTAACTGAAACTCCAACCCACGTGCTCCCAAATGGCATTTACTAAAACCCCAAGCAGAACTGTAATTTTGTTTTAGTATGCATCCCTCTTCCTGGCTACAGACCAGTGACTGCTTCCCAGAGGTGCAGATGCTCTTGTGGACATGGGTGCTCACTCACCTGCACATGGCACATGAGAAAAATATGAGCCCTGCAAACCTCATCCAGTGTTTGGCACATTCTCCAAAAAGCAAGTCCAAGGAGAAGATCTATTCCAGTCTTTGAACCTGATCTCCAAGAGGAAAACTGTCATGAGCCATTCACTCTGGAAAATCAAATCACTGGATTTCACTTTCCCATGCAGATCACCAAACACAGACCTGAGAGCACAGGGAAGTGAGGTTCAGATTCTTATGAGATATGGAGAGCCGAATTAGCAGCCCACCTGAACAGACCGAAATACATCCTGCTCCCCCCTTCCCTCCCTGGTCTTGCCTATCTAATGCTGCCTCTTTACATTTCTCTCCTCATGCTGATTTAATTCTCTAAAATGGTATTAGAAAAACCCAATAAATCACTGGACAGTTTTCCATGAGTTCAGAGAGCTGAATGGGCTCACAGAAGCATCTGGTGGCCACCACCATGGTAGAAGTCAGGTGAGACTGCATGGCCAGGGACTGGGAGAGCAACAGGAATTGAGGGTAAAGTGGCACCTCTTCATTTCAGCAGCTCAAGTCACTAGCTGCAGTCTCACATGCTTTGGCAGATTCCTTTAAAGATTTGGTTCAGAATTACAAGGGTATGTAGTGATAGGACAAGGGGTAATGGTTTTAAACTGAAAGAAGGTAGATTTAGATCAGATATTAGGAAAAAAGTCTTCACTGTGAGGATGGTGACGCACTGGAACAGGTTGCCCAGAACATGCTGGAGGTATCCAAGGCCAGGCTGGATGGGACTCTGAGCAACCTGGTCTAGTGGAAGATGTCCCTGCCCATGGCAGGGGGTTGGAACTAGATGATTTTCAAGATCCCTTCAAGCCCAAATCATTCTATGATTCTAAAACAAAATGTCAGGAACCAGATGGTCCTGTCCTAACTCTATCTGCTCTGTTCAAATATTGCAATACATATGCAAAGCAAAGCACTCTCTGCAATCCTTTACATGTCGGATTGCATTCAACATTTACTAACATGTACTTTTCACTTTTACAGCAACCTTCCATTTAGGGACAATGATCTTACCAGCAAGAGAAATTATTTAAACTTCACAGCATTCTCTCTACAACCAGAAACTATTACAAAGAGGAAACCGAGGCATGCCCTGGTTATGCGAGTTGCTTAAAGCTGCATATTAAATTGGTGCCTGAGCCTGAATAAAACAGGTGCTCATTCTGGTCCAATTATTCTTCATCCCTACTAGATGGGACTGGTAGTGACTGAAGTCACTAGTCTTCATCCCTGCTACCAGACTGCCTGCTTAGGAAGAAGTGAGGTATAGAAAGGCTTGCTGGTCTTCTGGGAATCAGCTCTAAACCCTCTTGCTGTGACTTAACAGAGCTCCTCTTGGGATGGGGATAATTACAGAGCACCCCAAAATGTGAGAGTTGGAAACATTTTTAAAGTGCTTATTCTCTTAGCAAACTGGAGTGGCATCTTCCTGACCCAAATCACTGCTCCTGTTTTCATTCTTCAATGTAAAGAAACCCATAAATAAGCGAAGGATTACAAAGAAATAAACATCTGGAAAATTTCAATTCAAAAATACTTATATTTGAAATGTTAAAACCATTTTGGAGCATGAGCAGCACTCATCTTTCAGAAGCAAGTTTTTTGTGTGAATCACCCTGCCCCAAGCATGCCTGGGAACACCACTGCTGCCAGGACCCAGTGTCTGACCATAAGTTCTACTTCAGGTGTCAGACCTCCAAGAGGACATTTCTCTATGTATTTGCACTTCCAAAACAAAAAAAAAAAAGGAAACAAGAGAAGCCCATGCTTTGATTCAAATAAGCCAACTTCTTGCACTGCAAGCACCAACATGATTTCTTGCTTTCTGTCAACACTCCTTTTACCCTCAGAACGAAGCTACTTCTGGATGTTTAGCTGCCAAGAGACACCACTGCCCACAGCAGGGACTTGCACAGGCTCTGGGTGTCCCACAGGACCACCATGCTGGCTGTGCCGACTGCCCCGGGGTGCTCTGCCATCCGTGGGCAGGGACACTCGGGATGTGCCTCTCTGAGCACAACACATGGCCCTGCAGCCCTGCTGTGCGTGTGTCCCTGTGCTCCATGTCACGCTCCTCTCTCCCTTCAAGGCAAGGCTGACTGCCTTTAAAACAGAGGTCTCCAACCAGAAGGATCTACCCTCTCATCTGGCTCCTTGGCAGCTCTCCACTTTTCCAGCTGTCCAAAGGAGTTTAGCCATAGGGGCTGCTACTGGCTTCAGGAAAACAGGGAAAAAAAGTCAGTAGTAGAATATTAATACTTCATTTCTGCCCTGTTTGTGCTCGGTTTGTTTCTGAACCTGCTGCATTTTCTCCCAGTGAGATTCCAGCGTTTAACTGTGCAGGGAAAAAGGAATGAAAATTGCATTGACAATCAAATGCATAAAAGAAAGAAATGGCAGCTCTGAAATATTCACAACCAACACAATTTTGATTAAAGAAAGAACTCTGTTTTTAATAGGGTTTTTTTTTTTTTGATCATTAAAAAAGTTTAAACCTGCATAGCAATCATTTCAAAAATAATTATTTAATGTTCCATAATGAAACTGTACACGACCTAGTCTCAGCGACAGCAGCCTGCCGGCGGTTCGGCGCAGTCGGAGCCGCGGGCCCCGGCGCCGGGGCGCGGCTGGCGGGGTCGGGCGCTCGCTGTCGGTGGCACAGTCTGGCTCCCACACGGGCGAGGGCGGCTCGGCCCCCTCAGCAGCGTCCTCAGAGTCGTTCAATGTCTCGGTACTTCTTCCTCAGGATGGAGACCTGGTCTTTAAAGAGGACAGGGTCGAGCCTCATCTGCGAGTGGATCAGCGGCATATAGCCAAACCAGCTGGCAAAAGTGTTCATGCAGCTCTGCCGCTGGGCAAAGTGGTCGGGGTCGGCCCAGCGCGAGGCCCGGGATGTCTGTGAGGAGAGGAGAGCAGAGATCAGAGTTGGCCTTGGCACATAGGATGGAGGGAATGGCAGGAGCTGGCCCAGGTGAACACCATGGTGCCCAGCAGCACCAGGGCTCGGGGGCGCGTGGCTCTGCGGCAGCTGGATCCTGTTTGGGGAGCTCAAAGAGGGGGAAGAACACCCTGCCCACAGCAGATCCAGTGCTGCTGAGCTGGAAATCCCTGACCTCCCAAACACAGCAGAGGCAGTGTGGAAAGATGAGTTCAACCATGAGCCAGCCTGTGGAACACAACACCCACAGGCAGCCCTCCCAAATATTGCCAGCACTCTATTTCACCCTATCCCTCACTCTTTTTTTCTTCAAACCCTCCAGCTATTTCAGAGATACAGCAAGTTCTTAAAAACCACCAGGAAAAAAAAGAAGGCTACTGATTTCTAGCAGAGGTGCACGCCCAAGCCCAGGCCAGTTGTTGCCCATGGTCTTCTACCATAGGAGGAAAACAATTTTTCAGGGTCAAACCTGAACTTTTGTAGTTCAGATCTGCAAAAATTTATGTGCAAGTAGTTTCAACCAGCTTGTAACTGAGTAGATGTCCTATGTGCTTGGCATTACTCATGCATGTAGGTGCCCTGCAGTGAAAAGCAAGGTGCTTCCAGCAATCCCACTGGACGAGTCCAGTGCTTCAGACAGCACTGTCCCACCTACACAAAAAATGAACTGGAGTCCCACACTACATCATATTAAACTCTGACCCAAGGAAAACACCGTGGTCTTTGCATACATGCAAAATATTCTGGCATGATTTTACTAAGTTCAGGGCAGCTGTAATCCCTGTGGAAGTCCATTAAAACTCAGCAGCACTGGGAAAAAAAGGCCCTAGCAGCTTTAAAGCTGCTATTGTTCTTTGTCTGTACCTAGACAACATTTATAAATGTAATAAAACTATTATGTTTATAAAAAAAAACCTATTAAAAAATATATTTAAGATGAAGTATGAATGTTGAGAATGTAGGGTTTTTTTGTGCCACTTCCCATGCAACTCTCTACAGCACTTATGTTTCTACTATACTTTAGAAACAAATATAAATTCATAGTCAAAGGATGTAAATTAAAACATGAAGAAACAGATAAAGTCTGGGACTTGCCAAATGACTGTGGTACCAGACTTGATCTTGGTCCAAGCCTGTCCAGTTTAGCTCAAGTGGTAGGTTATAATGTGCATTGATTACAGCCTCCTGATTATACAGAGCCACTGAAGAAGCCACTGAAAAGCTTTTTGCTGGAGGATTATAGCAGATATTTTGGCCATTAACACTGAATTTCCATATGACTATTCATCTCTGTCACAACACTGAGGTTATGTTAATTTTTTATTTGTCTTTCAAGAAATTATGAACATGGTCCATTACATTTCCCAAAGCTGCAGGAACAACTTGTCTTTAGGAGAGAGTTATAGTTCCTGGCTGACTCGAGTCACCCGTGCTGCAAGATGAAAAATGAATGCTCAGGCTTTGCCAAAAGCCAAAGCACAGCCTGTGGAGAGGTGAAGCTGAAACTGGAAGCAGTGGGTACTTTCTGGATGGCACCTTCTTGTTCACAGGAGGTCTCCTGGGCACCCAAAGGAATCAGAACTGCTGAATGCTACCAATGCTACCGATACCTCAGGTGCAAGCGCAGTGGCACAGAGATAATGGAGTTTACAAACTGGCATGGCAACTCCCCAGTCAAAGATCCAAGTCATGCTACCAGGAGAAAATGTGAGGGGAGAATCGAGGGCCCTTCTTTCACCTGCCCCCTAGTAATCATGGTACTGTTTGCATTGAGATCACAGACACCATGGCAGCACAGATGGGAGGCTGTTCAGGACCTGCAGGTTTTGCAGGACTTGCTATTCTCCTCATTGTTCTCTCACACAGGGTAGGACAAGTATCCCCACACTACCATGGATCCCTGTTACTAGAGGTACTTCTGCAATAACAAAAGGCTTATCCAGTAGCTGGAAGAGGACCTAAAGCAAGCACTTCATGGCTGCTAGTGAGTGATGGCATGACTGTGGGAGAAAATGTTCCCTGTGGGGAAAAAACACTTGCATATCACAAATTATCTGTTGTGACAGTTCAGTGGCAGTGCTTGAATCACACTATATAATTTAAAATAGCACAGGGACAGTCTGGTACATTATATTAATTGATAATAATAAAAAAATAGAAAATCTTTCTAGAATTTACTTATGCTTCTAGCATTCCATGACTAGGTCTTGGGTCTAGAATACTTAATTAGAAAATTAGAGTTTAACTGAAATTCAATCACCACAATCATGAGTTCCAGGAGTTTGGGGTCGCCATGAATAACACCATGTCAGAAAACTGAGAAGGGAAGCAGCATCCACAGTAGATGTGTGTTACTGTTTTTCCTTTTTCTTCATTATAACATACCTAAAGTCTGTTTACAGTTCTGCTAAACTAAAAACTGAAAAAAATATTTGACAGAATTGTATCACTCTTTATGCCTAACCTAGAAGTGAACCTGTTACATTATCAATACCTCCCGACTGCTAAAACATGCTGTGCTTACATACCTGTCCCATCATGGTCTCCTTATACTGTTTTTTCTGTGTTACTTTGATTGGAGGCAATTTTGTCACAGCTGACACCAAAAAATTCATTAGAATGTCCTCACAATTGGCCAGTTGGTCCACCATGTTCTTTAGGCTGGCAGGCAGGTAATGAGTGTACAGGTAGTGATAATATCTGAAAACCAACAGCAGTGTTATTAATACAAGTCACTGGGCTTTCAGGTATCCAGGACATTTCTATCTCAATTAAGACCCAAGTTTTGTACTCAACTCCCAGTATAGCACTTCCTTTCTTTGGTCTCACCCTCCAACAAGAAGGAAAACCAAATCAGTTTCTCATCAAGACAGTAAACAATGCTAAAGGAGAAAGAGAACATATGCTTCTTTTGCAACCAGGCTGAAAGAAACAAAGTGGGCCTAAGTATCAAGATAATGGATAAGTAGGAAGGAGCCCCACAGTGCTACAATGCAATAACAGAACACTGATGAATTTATCGTCCGTATTTTCTTTCCAAACTGTTCAGTTGGAAAGAACTCTTATTAAAACTGCCCTACTACCATTCTTAATGTTGAAATTATTCTCCTTTGGGTCTGTATCGTCCCCTGTGGGCTGTCTTCTCCTTTGTGGGGGTGTGGATTACAGACTCCAGAATTTTCTTTTTCTTTAAATGTAGAGAGGACTTTGGTCTGCTGAAGTTCTAACAACATAGGTTTTCTCCAACATGCTGCAATATGCTGAGCCGCCACATGCCCATTGTACTACATTTCTAGAGTAGCCACAAGACTTTGCAGTCTGCAGCTGTCAGCCAACACATACCCAGAGCTGGTCTGGAAGTAACCTCCTTTCTGCTATGCTACAGGCCATTCAGCCAAGCAGCTTAATGAATTCAGGAGCTCTTTGAAGTGTGTAATTCCTGATGTTAAAAAGAGCAGTCCGACTGCCTCAAAACACAAGTGACTTCAAAGAGACCCAACAAGTGCAATAATGATTACCAGATCCCAAGAGCTAAACCAAGAACTTAAATTATTACCCCATAAAAAGTAGACCCACTTACTATCTTTCCATTTTTTTCCCCTCCCCGGAAGAACGTTCTTCACACCCCACCCCCACTCCCTCTTTACTATTTTATTTCATACAGAAGAAGGATAGCAGATGCTCTGGATTCTTACTTGTGGTAAATAGCAGCTCCTGTCAATACCATGGAATAGTCATTAGTCCATTTGGAGGTATACCCCCACCTTTCCTTAGTGTTGTCCCAGAAGTGACTGCGTGCAGGATACCCTACAATCCTCTCTGGAAAGCTCTGCCAAACTGTAAAGGCAAAATCCACCTGTGGACAAAGGTACAGGCCAAATGAATACCAAAACTGTTTCAACAAATGTCAACAAAACAAAATACTGCCTTGCCACTAATTCGCGATTCAAAATCTTGGAACTGTTGCAAAACAGTAATTCTGTGTATTCATAAGTAAATTAAACTGACTGCTTGACATTTTGCCCTATAATTATGCACATTTTAATGGTTCCTGTTAAAGGGAGTCTAGAGCATCACAGCATTACATTAACATTTTCAAGCTTGCCCTTTACATATCAAACCTTTTCAAGTTACAGAAAGAAAGGGTGTAGGTGCATGTATTTGTACCTCGGTGCAACACCAAGGAGTAATAGCTATGTGGTAAACTGAAATTTCTGCACATCTTTATGCATTGCACCTACCATTTTATCACTGTTAACAAAGAGTTTGGACAATCAGGAAAATCAACACTTTAAATGGTAAAGGTAGCTCAGTGAGAATAAAACAGACAGTCAGTGTGGAGTCCTTTTATATTTTCCAACTGTTTTGAGCCTTCTGAAGACCATGTCAGTCATACTTTCAAGACTGTCAATATGACCAAAAAGGTTCACCATATAGCTTAATAAAGAGGAAAATAAAATTCCCATTTAGTTAAATGGCATAAGGAACCTGAACTTTAAGAAAAATGCTTTATATTGTATGATTGACAAGAGCATGTCAAATACTGCCAATGGCATTTTTTTATTTTATTGTCTTGCTGTAACTATTTTAATAACTCAAATCTCTGAGAATTGAGAAGTGACAGGACTCAGTTGCTACCCCATGATCCTACTGAACAAAATCTAGTGATACCAGGAAAGGGATGATTGGGGTAGTTTGCAAAAGCATTACATTTGAGAAGAGTTTGCTAAAAATACATATGGGAAAGATTTTATCAATGGTTGGCAGTCTTTCCCCTTCAACTTGGCTTTTGGAGCTCAAGCTAGGCTGAAACTTTATTAGAGTTATACACAATTCTAATTGTCCTAGTCAAACTCAAAAAAAAGAGGGCTTTGTTTCTGCACTGCACATTAGGCTCCCCTCAGTACCAGAGGGACCTAAAACTTTGCCCAAAAATGTTTGAAAAGCCTTCCAAGAACGCAGTCAAAGTTAAGGGTGTAGAGGTTAGATAAAGAATAGCTGCTCTGAGAACAGTCACATTTTGTGTTGATTACTGTCAGACTTCACACATTTACAAGTGTTTTTATGAAACAGAAGAGTTGCACATGGGTTGAAATACAAAGTTAGGGCCTGGTTATTTTCTTTTAAGTTGTTTCAAGGAATCTGAGGCTAACCAGAAAGACAATGTGCACAAACCAGTTACCGTTGTGATAGTTCTGATCTCATCCAAATCAATACCACATGAAAGAACTGAAGGGTTTTTTTCCCCTATAAAGGCCTTTCCCATAAAACGTGACATCTGTTTTCTTTAGAGAAGTCTGAGGATCTCAAACTTAAATAAATAATAAAATTGCTGCACCCAGTGCCCTCTCTTGTGATTTCAACTATCTGCCCTTGCACTAAGGAGATGTGCTAAAGCAACCACCTAAAACTCCCTTTATTAAAAAAGCCCCTCAAGTCTCATCCTAAGTAATTTCCAGCAGCACTACCACTCTCAGCTGATCACCAGGAAAATCCAACCAAGCTGGCAGTCTATTAAACCTCTGGATCATGACCCACACTGATTTCTAATGACTTCCCATGCACACACCCCTCTGTGGTGGGAGTGGAACAGCTCCTCTCACAGAACAATTGCCCACCATTCTGCTGAGAATGGAAAACCTTTACTACACTGGGGAGTAGTACTCAATGGGAATGTGATTGTCTTCGACCATGTTTCTAAATTGCCTTTTCTGGGCCTTGTAGCTGTGCCCCCACAACCCTCCATGAGCAGCTAAGTTTCAAAATGTCACATCACATTTGTGCAAGCTGTACTGTGGGGGAAGTGAAGCAATAAAGAGGTCCCCCAGCTCTTCATGGAGAGACACCAAACAGAGCTGCTGGTGCTGGCACCCTGGCAGAGATGCTGGAGCTGCAAGGTGGGTTATAGCAGGAGCTGGCCAGCTGGTTCTATCTGCAGCACAAGGACCAGGGGGCTCATAAAGCAAATACCCACTGTGCAAATACACAGCATCAGCTGCAAGTTGCTCACAGGAGCAACAAAGAAAACAAAACAAAGCAACAAAGCCACAAAGAAAAGTATAGGTTGTCTCACACAACAACAAGTATTTGTGCTTCAAAATGTTTAGGGTAAAACATGGCCAAGTTGAATGAGAAACACTATTTATTTCATATGTGTTCCAGAAGCCTGTATGACTCTGAAGTTTGGAGGATGACTAAATACCATTTAGAACCTTAAATCCTCATGGAATCCACAGGCTGGATTGCTGTAAATACCCCGTTGGTGCAATGAAGTCCCCTAGAGGTATTACCATGATCCCCAGGGCAGCTGAGGTGGGACCCTTCATTCTGAGCAACAACCTGCTTATGAAGTACAGCCCAAGGAGAAATGCCTTTTATTGCTTTGGGGTTTCTTTGGGCTGTGCAGGGCTTCGCACACAAGTGCTTTGGCAGTACCCATATTCTTCCTCATCTAGCAGAAACTACCAAGGTGTAGCATTGGTATCAAACAGGCTCAATGTCAACTATTTATTTCATTTTTGAAGTGAAAGAGGGCTATGAAGGCTGTTTCTTGAGCAGTCTAACCACAGCACAACATCTGTACAAGGGAGAAGAGCAGTTGCAATCTCATCCATTTAGAACAAATTCAGTGACATCTTAGGGTATATAGCAGTGACTGAAGACTAATGTTACACACTTCTTCACTGACATATAAGTAGTGGCAGCATCAGTGAAAGATCCCCATCACTGACAGAAATGCATTTTTATCAAGGTGAAGTAGGGAGAGCAGAATGACCATGAACATGGAGGGAAAAAAAGGGAAAACAAAAGAAAATCGAGTTTCTCAAGCTATTCCCTGGCCATCATTAATAATGTATTTCCCAAATATTGCACTCTATATAAACTGTCATCGGTTTCCCTTGTGGTTCTCAGGAAGAGGTTCTAGAAATCAATACTCATCCCAGTTGTAAAAATTGGTTTTCTACAGTATTTTTCTTTTCTTAGTGCTATCTTGCTCTTGGCACAGACACCTGAGCACCTAAACTAGCAAAGATCTACAATTTTATGGGCTGACACAATAGGGAAAGAGCATTTCTCAGTGAAATCCTGCACTAGGGTGGCAGTGCTGTCTTTTGGAGTGATAGCAGTCCCCCTGTGCTGACAAGCCTTCCTTCTCCACCTACACCCTCCTGATAACGTGGGGGGGAAGCTGCCCCAATCAGAAAAGTGAGAGCAGAATATTAAAGCTGACTGCTCTTGGCAGCCTACACCCGCCTGCAGCTATGTTACTAAAATAATAAAGAACGGAAGAACCATATGCTAATGATGAGCCAATTAACCAGGGCAAAAAGCTCCTCTGATGGCAGGCAGTGGCAGGGTTGCTGAAACAAGCGCAACACGTTAAATCTGAGGAGTGTAGCAGGAAATCTTGTAACATTTGCTCACTGGCAAAGCCAAGTGAAGAGCATATCTGCTGTGCTCAGGCTGAGCCCAGGAGCCAAGCAGACTCCCAAGACAACAGAGACCCTTACCTCAGTGGTTGAAAGCACGGTGTCCTCATCCAGGCTTAGCACTGCATCTGTCACTATGTTGTCGTAGGGTAGGAAGCGACTGCTCATAACCTGTGGGTATCCAAGGCAGGAAGGGGAGGAAATAAAAATCACTTGAAGGGCTCATTTCCAAGGCAAATACTTAATTTTATTCCTCACTCTTATTTCCTCATGTCTGAGGTACACGACATATTTCTGTCTGATGGAAAGGACCCTTCAGCTCAAAAGTGAAGGAGTGTCATTTTTGTCACCCCAGCAGTCAGCCTACACCTTCTATCTGAGAGTAATTTCTGAACAGACCTCCCTCTTTGCAACAGGCTGCTTTCCTTTAGTGACAAACAGCATAGGTCTGTACTGATAATTAGAAGTACCCACAGCTTCTTTGTGGAGGACATTTTCCCTGGTGGCTATGACTGTCCCTTTGCTCTCCTACAGGGTGTGAGGATCAAAGGTAATGAATGCTGAGAAGGACTTTTCAGCCTTCATAAGCTTACACAGCTGGGAAACCAAGCAGCCCAGGATGTGTGTGAAGGATGTAATGCTACCAGGATGGTGCAACATTCTCCATCAGAAAAGGAGAATATGCTGAAGAACCCAAACTGAACTTTATCTGAGTGAAGAATTATACAGACATGGTAGCATTTTAAAAAGTCACATTCTTAAATGGCCTTCCAGTACCTGAAGGGAGCCTGAAAGAAAGATGGAGAGAGACATTTTATAAGAGCATGCAGTGACAGGACAAGGGGAAACAGATTTAAACTGACAGAGAGTAGGTTTAGATTAGGAATTAGAAAAAACTTCTTCACTGTGAGGATGGTGAGGCACTGTAACGCTGCCCAGAGGAACTGTGGATGCTCCATCCCTGGGAGTGTTCAAGGCCAGGCTGCACAGGGCTCTGAGCACCCTCATCTACTTGATGGGAGGTTTCTTGGTCCATGGAAGGGGGGTCAGCACTAGATAGTCTTTAAGGTCCCTTCCAACTCAAACTATTCTATATATATAAAAAACCTATATACAGAATAAGCTTTTTAAAGATATAGCAGGAGAGTCCTCAGAGTAATAGGAAATAGATGGGAAAGCTGGATCAAAAAGATAACAGCAAGAAATGAAAATCCATATGGTTTCTTTATCAGACTGTAAAGCACTTTTTGAGAACTGATGAAGAATAGCAAGGACACAACATAGTTTGTTTCCCTCATTTGCTATGAAAAATAGCCTGGTTAGTTACTAGACTTCTTTACCCATTTACTATGCCAAGAAAACACTTCAGAAGTCAAGCTCAGTAAGAGGAATCCACTGTATGGAAACAGGGACAAGAAGTTTTATACAACTCTCCTAATTGACATGGTGAGTTCTACATCCCCTGCAACCTGTTGGGAACAAGTCTTAGGAATCTGCCTTGATTCAGAGAAAGATCTAGCTACATAATCAGGATGTTCACAGCATCTGTCTGGAGAGTACCCCCTCATCACTATGATGGCCTTGGTCTGGGGAGGCAGGGTTCTGATGAAGAGGTGATCTGCCTGGGGCTGAGGGTTTTTGCTTTGCTTACACTCAGATGAAGCAGAGCACGCAGCCAGCAGGAGACCCATGTTCTCATCCCTAAAAGTCCCTTTTAAAGACTGTGCAAAATTTTCAAATAGTACAACAGTCAGAACTTGCCATGTATTTTTTTTTTTTTTATAACTAAAGTACCATTTTGTAAAATGTGTGTTATAATATTTGATTTCAAGGGAAGGGTAAAGGTTTGGTAAAGGCAGACCACTGTGATCAGCAGCATGGAGTACTGGTGCATGCCAGCAGGCCTTGGCCAAGTTTGGAGATGAAAAGCAGTCCCTTTGTGCAACCTTTGAACTGTGCTGCTCTGGCTTTGCAAGCTTGGTCCAAAAAAACAGCTTTCCACACAAGAAAGACATTTGGCATAGGTTGGGATATTAGAGGGAAGAGACTGTCCACTATAAACACACCTTTGTGTACTCAGGAGACTCATTTGTAATCTAAACAGTGCCTGGGGCCAATTTCTACAAACACTATAAAAGTGGTCAGAGATTTCTCCTCTATCTCACCTCTGCTAGTTTTACAAAAAGAAACTAAAAACACCCAGAATGCTCAAAAGGGTCAGAAATCTCTACCTTTTTTGGCCCTGCAGCAATTTTCCTGATACTGTTTACATGGCTTGCTAAGGCCAGAGCCTTTAGCTGCCAGCCTTGCAGGGCTCTCTGTCCCTTGTTAAGGTGACAAGGAGAAAAGACCAAAGAGAAGATTACAAATTCAAAATAGTATTGTACAAGCAAAGCAACTAAAATTCCCTTTGACAATGCAGAGCTCTGAAGCCATCTGAGAGAGACTGCAGAGAGGTCCAGCTCAAATCTGTTTCAGATTCTAGAAGCAAAAAGTCTTGCTTCTCTCAGGTCTTCATTTGAAAAGGAATCATCTACTTCAGTATGAATTTAAAAAATATCCTTTCTCATCTAATGGCATCTATTTTGACTTTGTGAAAGTACAAACAAAAATGTATTGCACAGCAAGATATGGCATGGCAATTTTTGCTCCCACGAGTGTCCCATGTCCCTTCCTTTTTTTTGATGGCCATAAAAGAAGATACTTTTCAAAGGCAAGTTCTCATTTTTAACTCTGCTTTTGAATCCACAGCTGACCCCCAAGTCTTGCATGTGACTTCTCAGACTCAGTGAGTGCAGCTGCATCACTACTTTCATGTAGTGAAATCTCCAACGACGGGTCAGCACTATCGACTGACAGGGTCACATTTCAAAACTGGGTTCCACCTGTGAATCTCAGATTCAAGGCATTAATTGCCATGCTGATGATTTCTGAGTGCACAGGGCCCATGCATGAAACACAAATCTGCAACTAAGCTGGTACAAAAGGCCAAGGAATAGAAGGGAGCTGTCATTTTGTTGGGAACTACAAAGCTTTCACCAAAGCTGCTGGAAAAATAAATTCCCATCCTGCCAGAGAATCCAGGCAACCTTTTACTGTGCTTCTCTCCACCTACCTTGCTTTCTCCTTCAATGACTATGACAGGCACAGAAGTGGCAGGCCAGCGGTGTTTGGCTGGGAGGGGTTTATCACAATTCCATAAAACAATAATCTGAAAGAGAATATTGGACAATTGGCAATGCTGTCCATATTCTAAAGTCTCAGATTTCCAAACAGACATATTAAATTCAAATTAGGAATTCCAAAATCAAGATCAATTAAACAAATCTGCATAAAAATAACACTTTCTACATTGATTTCACCCAAGCTAAGTACTTACAATATATATCCTCTCAGGCAAATATAGGTTGGATAGAAACTTGGGAAGTCTCTATTTCAGACACATGATACAGATGTGACTGGTTTACTGTCGCTCTCATTAAAGGCAAAACTGCTTGTGACACTCCACTACAAGAGGGTGCTCCTACTGAACTCCCCAGGTTTTTTTTTAGAGAAGCCAAAATCTTGGCACTGATGAGATTAGAAGTCACAGTGGGAGGAAGGAAGATCATGTAATGGCTTTTGAGGCATAGACATCCTTGTGCAGTTTGCAGCACACACAACGCCGATCTTTAAAGTGCACTCATTATTTTACCTGTCTCATGTAACAATGGGTTTAATTACTATCTCTATTCCACTCCCATTATACTCAGAATTTTTATTTCCCATGCATGTAGGTCATAGACAGTAGAAATCTCAGAGGGAAGAAACATCAGAATTGAAACAGGGGGTTGAAACAGGGCTGAGTCACTAGGCTCTGCATTCCTGGCAGAATGGCTTGTCTCTGCTGTGACTGACAGCCAAACAGTGCTGCTTACCTGTGCACAGTACTGGGACTTGGCTACAGCAACCAGGAGTTTCAGCACAGGCTGAGACTGGGAAACCAGGGGAGTTACTGCGTGGATAACGGCAGTGAATGTGGAAAGAGGCTTCAGACCTGAAGTGAAGAGAGACGTGTTCAGTAAGACAAAATCGCCCCAGTTACTACAGATTAAAGGACTTTGGGGATGGAAAAAACAATCTGCACTTAATGCAAACCTTGCCAGGTTTTTTTAGGTCATCTCCCTTCCTCTCAGATACCAGATGCTTCAGAGATCACACTTCCCTTTAACTCCCACTCTGTGCCTTTAACTTCCCCTCTGAAATGCTGGACTCCAAGACAATTATTTCCTTTTCTTACTCACTGTTTCCACAGATGTCCTGTAATCTCTTTCTTTCATCCAGTTTGTCCCACAATATTGACATCTAGTTTGTTCAGCCAAATGTCTTTCTTGACACAGGCTATGTTTTGCTGCCTGGCTCTGGATGCTTGATGTTTTTTACAGATTATCTCCACAAATTCCAGAAGCTTATTCATTTTCCTCAGTTCCATTACAGCCTCTGTCAGATTTTTGCTCTTTCTGGGTTGATTCCTATCCACATGCATCTGCAATTACATCCTGAGCTGATAATTCTGCTTGTATCCTTGCCTTCCATTTCTAAATTTTCATCTTGTTGTGATTTCTTTTTTTTTTTGCCTGGAATAACACATCCTACTGGCACCTACCCTTCATTACTGCTCTCAATTTCATCTAAATTCATCAGTGTGGGGTCATAGTAGTTTTTCATCAGAATTACAACAAAAACCTTCTTCTCCCTTTTTTAACACAGTAACTGTCAATTTTTAGCAGGTGAGCAGTACAGATCCACACAAGTGGGATGGCAGAGGCTGAGCCAAAAGTAGCAGCAGTCTGGTAAGCAGGATCCTTGCCTGGAGGCACATTTGCCTGCAGAACTCATTGTTCAAGCTCTGTTTCAGGAAAAAGCCATGAACCTAAGCCCTATTCAGTCCTTCTAGTGGGATCCATATGAAGACACATACTATGCAGAGTAAATCCATACCAAGTGTGCACTCCAATAAAAAGTGTCATGGGTAAATTACCACTTTTCCAATTTGCCAAGCACAAACAAAGAAAGGAAAAAGCTATTCCTCTTACGTCCCCTCAGGCCATGAATGGGTCAGCAACTCAGGCATTAATTACCAGCAAATAAAAAGTATGAAGGAACATAGATTTTCTTTTTAAAACAATCTTTGCAAGCAAGAGGCACATGATGCATGTTGATGAGTCAGAGATGTTACAGTCTACAGTGGGCAGTAAAGATTGAGACAGGATAAATTAAAGGCATCATTAACTAGAAATGAATGGTAAGTCACTTGGCACATGCTACTCAAAGATGAAATCCGATATTCCACTAGAAATTCCAGATGCTACTACATTATAGCAAGGATTCACTCACCAAGATTAGCATAGTAGTAAGGAAAATCTCCCAGATATGAGGAATATTGTGGCAGTACAAATAACCCTCCAGGATGTTTGTTCCATATTAAGCTGTTACGTGATATGTGCTTAAATATTCTGTCCTGAATAATCTAGAAAACAAGAGAAGAAATTATTTTTAAATAGACTTTTTAAATAGATTTTTAAGTGACTACTATAGTCACTACTAGAAGCTTCAGGGACTCCAGCTGACTGGAATCATCACCCATTTTGCAAAAAGCTGAGGCACACAAATGAGTAGACACTCCTCCTTGATCTCTCTTAAAAGGACTCAGAACCTGCACACTCTGACACCACTTCAGTGCTTAGGCTTTGTGCCATAGGTTTCAGAGTACCTCATTAGTCTCTCTGGACATGGGGACCATACAATTTATTACATTTCATATTTCAAGTCAAATATTTTCTCTATTTGAGTATCTTAGCAGTTGTAAGCCTGATTAGTTCACTGTCAGCTTTACTATCCAGAACTCACAGAAGATAATTATTTGAAGATGGCATTAAAAAGCTAGGTAGTATTAGGAGATAATGAGAGTATTCAAAACCAAAAAGACTTTCAGCAAATCAGGCTGCACTAATTATTAATTTTTTCCTAATTATAAAGGGATATTAGCATTCAGCTACATCACTGATTCTATGTCTCAGTTCTATAACAGTTCCTTGTTGGATGAAACAGATGATCATTTTTCAACTGCTGTCTGACTCTGTAGGGAGCCAAAACCAGAGATTCCTAGATTTTTAAGGTCAGAACAGATTGCTAGGTCATCTACTTCATCATCTATTGTACCATTAAAAAAAAAAAAAAAAGTTACCAGGCTGCACAATTAGTATGCATTTATGAAATTACAGTTGCTTCACACTGGATGCCTGATTGCAGGAACAAGAGTGGTTCTTACACTGATGGGAAATTCTTTAAACTTCCAGCAAAGGCGTAACAAGATTCAGTGGTGGCAATCTCTAATGGGACAAATTCAGCCTCCAAAGAAGATGCAACTTTCTAAGCACAATACACTCTTGAGCCACACATTTTTACAGATTTGCCTTCCCTTGGAGCATTAGAAGTTAGCAGGTCTGGAGATGGAATGCTGCCAAGGGCCAGTGGGTGGTGAAGGATGAATTTTCCCCCAATTTGGCTAAGCAGGAATGCCTTGCCTTCTTCTGCAGCTCATCTTCTGATAATTCCAAGAAGTTTTTCCTGTCACTGGCAGTTTAAGCACTGCACAGAGCTTAAGTGCCAAGAACATGTTGGTTGTTCTAGCCCAGTGTCTCTGCCTTAACATACATGCACATGGGTGAAACTTCCTAACTTCATGTCTCTGAAGCTGGACTGAAGTGTAGAAAAAACAAAAAACAAGCAAAGAAGACCCACCACAAGAAGAAAAAAAGCAGCTGCTGCAGTCTAAACAAGCTAAAATCTCTATAAGATGCTCAGTTCAGGGACATTTGGTCAATACATGAATAAGTATTGCCACAAGCAGGGGTTTTCCTGGAATTTTTGATTGCCATGACAAGAAAAGATTAAAACACCAGTTACATTGTGTTAGACAATCCACTGCTGGTGGCAATACATGTACTGCTAAACTGGGGCAGATGTTAAATGCATGCTTTTCTGAATTTTGCCTACAGCCAATTACCATAGCTAATATGCAGTAATTCACTCACATGAGTAAGTTAACTTTTATTTTTTTTAATAGCAGACTTAGGACTGTAATGCCATCACTGACAAGAATGTATCTGAATCTTTCTAGTTGAAAAGTTATATGTATCAGTTGTCAGATCTCCCACACGGCAGTGGGGACAGGAAAAAACAGACAATGACTGCTGTTTACCCAGCTGCAAGTTATGCCACTAAACAAGAGAAAACCTGGAAAGTATTTATTTTTGAGTGCTTACCACAAAGCATAAATACTACAGCTCCTCCCTCTTGCTTTCTCAGAACTGGGGCACAATTGGATAAAGTAGCAGTCTGTAAATTTACAGGGCCAGGAGGTTTACACAGGCGGTGGAGTTTTCTGGGGCACTGGTAGCCAACAAGGCTGCAGGGGAAACACACGGCTTGTGTTCAACGTGCCTCAGTGCTGAGGACATCCCTCTTTCTATCCCCAGTGCCACCGCAGCACAGGCTGCCTTGGGAGCACGTCAGCCAGGCAAACCTCACTGGCGTGCTTCTGCATCCTCCTGGGGAGCTGCTGAGGTAGCTCACCAGTAGTAGTCAAAAAATGGATCACTAATTTATCACTCTCCTGGGCCTACATAAGAAACCTAGCTCTCCGTCAGGATAGAGCAGGAAACTTGGCAGAAAGAGAACTAAAAAGTATAAAAAAAGATAACATGGAGGACACCAAGGAATTAAAATGCAGAGTGTATGGTGTTGCACATTTTGCAGAGACAGCATCTACCTTGTCTCTCCAATGATGAGACATGACAGGAAGTTTAATAAGAGAAGAAAGCGGTTAGGATCTCTGGCAAGATCTCCTTTTTCTTTTTGGAATGCATTAATAGTCCAATATTTTTGTCTCCATCATCCTCACATTTCAAAAAGTTCACATATTGCCTTAATCATTGATGCTTTTCAACAGGCCCTAGCCAAGCATCCAGCACTTCTTGTCTGTACTTTGTGCTGTCCCTCTCCCCTTCTCTTCCTGAGTGGAGGGCTGGGCATGCCATGCAGGGATGTTTTAGGTTTGCTTCAAGAGAAGACGAAGCTGCAGAAGGTCAGAGCAGACATCTGATGGTGCCTGCAGCAGCCCCCTGCTACACTGCCAGGGCTCTCACTCACCAGCCTGCTGCAGGCACTCATGAGCATCACTGCCTGAGCCACTCCTTGGCCGAGGCACTGGGCAGCTCCTCCGTGCCTGCCACAGAGGGCTGCTGGCCAAATGATTCCAACTCTTATTCTGGACTACGAGCTGTTGGCTTAGGCCACTGTGCTCGGAGTAAAGTCCATTTTCTTCATAGTGGCTGCTACGGGGCTGTGGTTTGGATTTGTGCTAAACACAGGGTTGACACTCTAGAGATGTTTTTGTTATTGCTGAGCAGGGCTTGCACAGAGCCAAGGCCTTTTCTGTCGTTCATATGGCCATGGTGGGGAGGAAATTGGGGGTGTCTGGGAGGAGGTACAGGCAGGACAGGTGACCCAAACTGGCCTAAGGGAAATTCCAGACCATATGACATCATGCTCAGGATATAAAGGGCGGGGGAAGAAGAAGGAAGACATTTGGAGTGATGGTGTTTGTTTTCTCAAGCTACTGTTACATGTGATGGGACCCTGCTCTCCTGGAGATGGCTGAACACCTGTGAGAAGAAGTATGCCTGTGAGAAGCTGTGAATTAATTCCTTGTTTTGCTTCGCTTTTTTTTGTAGCTTTTGCTTTCCCTATTAAACTGTACTTATTTCAACCCATGAGTTTTCTGGCTTTTACCTTTCCAGCTCTCTCCCTGACCCCACTGGTGAGGGAGCAGCTGCTTGGGACTTGGCTGATGGCTGAGGTCAAACCACAACAGCCACCCAATGCTGTGAAATGATCAAGGAAATTAAAATGTGATTTAAAGTTTCCAGAGGTGTGCAGAATAAAGGGCTGTGATGTCCTTGCAGACATCTGATTTGGTGAAGACTTTTGCTGTGCTGATATCCTCAGACAGGGACATACACTGCCACTGCAGTTAGTGGGCAAGTGATTATTTTGATGATATCTAGAGTCATCAGAGCACTCTGACACAACAGTATTACAACAGAAGATGGATCACATCCACAAAAAAAAAAAAAAAATCCTGCTAGGAATTTACTTTCAGACATTAGATTTTAAGAGGAGGATATACTGCTTGCAGGTTTCAGACAACAAAAGTCACTCTCAACTTTTTTAATCCTTTCCTATGGAAAGTTAACTTGAGTCTTAGGCAAGTTGAAATGTGAAATGAGTGAAAAGAGTCTCTCTTAGCTATCTCAAAAAATTGAGAGTCCTGAATTAAAAAACAACAAAAAAATTTCAAACCAAAATCAGCTTCCCAAACAAATGAAAAAACACAGACTATAACTTTAACACCAGGCTTACATTAATTGATTTCATTAAACTAAATCTTCTGGGAAGACTTTTGTCTTCACTTTGTTTTTTCTGCTCTGAGCAGAAACTCTAGCTTGCTGGTTACCCATTTGCTTCAGCTTTAGAGGTTTTGCTGACCCTTGGGCTCCTGAAACTGCATGGGTCAATGTGTCCCAAAGCAGCACTAGAGATACATGTGTGAGCACTGGAGCTTGATGTGGTGGACACCAAGGCTGTGGGAGCTGCAGGTTATGTGCCCTGGTGTGGGAGTCCAGCCCCAGCACAGGTAGGAGAGGGAAGAGCCATGTGCCCCATACCTTTTAGCAACCCCTGACAATAACAGAGCACATGCAGAGAAGGCAGATGATGCTTGAGGCACCTGATGTTCCCTGGGAGCACTTCTGTAAGGGTTAATCCAACTGAGCAATGGCACATAGTCTCCCACCTTTGTGAGGCTGATCCTAGTGCAGGCAGTGGTAATAATGATCACTACCTCATCAGTGCTTATGAGGAGTTTTAGGATGAAGAGTGGTTCCCAAGGTGGGGGATGAAGGCCTTGGGAGTAAGCCCAGGCAGCACAGATGAAGACATGCTCTTCTGAGGGCAATGGGAGCATTGTGAGGATAGCTATGCCACGGGCTCTGCAAATGTTCCCTGGCTGGTTTTCTTCACTGGCATGGAAAAACCTAAGGGACTGCCTTGCAGCAGCTGGAGCTTGATCAACCATGGGCACTCATTTGCAGTTTTCAGGGGGAAGCAGGCAGAGCAGGAAACGTGGAGCATTAACAACTGCACATTACAACTGTGCACAAAGACAGGTGCACTTGCAAAAGCATTAGCATAAGACGAATGCATTTGCACCTACAAATGAGCCTCTTTCAGTGGTACAAATGTGTCAAAAATTTATGTGAAAAATTGTAAAAAAAAAAAGCAACCTGCTTTTGAAATTGCAGCCTGGGCCCTACTTCTGAAGAGCCTTTCATCTTTTCTGTGTCTCTGAATTCAGAAAGGATTCTCTCCACATTTGAGATCATCTGTCTCCCCTTTTAATAACAGTCTAATAATGATTATCTATTAATAATTTATAAGAATGATCAGGCCTTTCCCTTCTCCTGTGTGTGAAGATAAGGCATAGCATTTACAAGTTCCCCCTTTTCCTTGAGCCAGATCAATAGCCCCATCACAAGGCATCAGGATGTGAAGCAATGGTCAAGGAGGAGCTCTACAGTAGCATTTTTTTCAAAAAGAATTCCAGAAGGATTTCTTAAGAAATACATTTACTACCAATGACAAGGATAGTGATTCATAAGCCATAAGGCCTTGCAAAGTCAAGATCACACATGACAACTTCTCCATGTGTTGGGTAGCTCCCATTTTTCATCGTGTCAGTTTTCTAATGTGGATTCTGATAATGAAGGAAGTATTTCCTTAGGGGAGAAAACTCATCAAGACACAGCTTTTTTCCCAGTGACCAATTGCATGTCATGAAAACCAAGGTCTGACACCAGCTGAGGACATGAGCAGTTGGACAGGTACGGAAATCTTGCTGCTTGGCAAGGTCCCAGACAATTTTTACTCACCTCTAGTGTAGTCAATACAATCTTCTCAACTGAAGAAAAATAAGCCTCCCACAAGAACTGTGTCTGCTGTCTAAGTGCTAGGATTTTATCCTGATGGATAGACCTGATTGTAGAAGGAATCTGTAATACAAGATGTAATATAGTCAGAAGCTTTAGAAACAACACAATCTCATCAAATTAATATGCTGCTGACAAGCCCTCTCCTCCATTAGCTGGTTGTACAGCTTCAGCATTCCCACCCAACAGAGATGTGTGTCAACATTTAAAGCCTTGATGTAAAACAAATGAGACACAACCCTTTATAACCTCTGATACTGAATATATTATTTTTTTTTAATTTGCTTTCTTTTAGTTTTTGACTGTTTTATAGTAAGGAAGCTACCCCCCTGTAGCCTTGTGGTGTGCCATAGTAAGGAGCTCCTCCATGCAACCCTCATTCTTTTCATCCCACAATATTTGAACAACCTAGTAACTGCAGGGGTTGAGAGTTCAATAATAATCCCTAAATTCCAAGTATATTAACAGGATCTGGAATTACATTTTCACAGCATGGCAACACTAAATGCCCTAAGGAAAACATAGCAACACCTTAACTAAGACTCCAATTTTTGGGAGCCTGTGGAACAAATTCCATTTTACTAATTACCTTAGGTGGAAAGAATAACATCTTCCACAACATCTGTTATTCAAGGAAATAAGGGAAATCAATGTTTATTTTTGCCCTCTTTCCATTAAATCTATGCATTAAGTGTTGTGTAAGTTGATATACAAATAAACTCTAAATTGTCCTGCTGCAGCACTTTTCCATTAAAAAATGTAACTGCTCACTAGATCAGAAGAGAAGGGTTTCATGTCTCCATCTTTCACCATCCCTACATCCTTTTTGAAACTAAGGTGTGTACATGGCATTTTTAAACTTAGGGCATTGACCAAGGCCTCCAGTACAACTTGGACAATGCAAAGTGACATTGTTGAGGGGATTTAACTGAAATTTGCTTCAGTGATGAGGGCTAGTCACAGCACTAGAAAGGCATTTAAGATATGTTGCTGCTTTCTGCTTATCCTTTTCTAGAAATGAACAGTTGTGTTGTTACACCTACATTTTTGTGATTTCTAACTGCAATCACAGAATTGTTTAAGTTGGAAAAGACCTCCAAGCTCATCGAGTCAAATCACTAAATTAGGCCAACTTGTTCTCAGATACTAGTTTCTCATAAATCTTCTGCCTGAGTCATTAGATTTAAAAGCAAATACCTGGGCTGTGTATTTGGTCCTTGTGCATTCTAGCTTATTCTGAAGTTTGTATCCCACCTCATTCAACCTTTTCCTGACCAAAACACATTCTGCTCACTCCTACAATATTCTGAGAAGAGGTGGTGATCATTATTTGCTTTCATGTGTCCCCAAATCAATTGATTTCTCGTGAAACCTTTTTCCCAAAGAAAATCTGCAGCTTTAAGAATTCACGTGTAAAAAATTTTCACAAAAACCAGCAAATTATTTACTTGCAGAATTTTCAACCAGGTCTGGACACTTTGCCCATGGCTCCACTGGGTGCAGTGTCAGATGGGCCAATCTTTGCTCTCTCAGCCCTTCAACTCTTAGACCATCATCTTAGAGATACTGCTAATACGATACAGACTTTGGGCTTATGAGAGAGTTAGCACTGCAGCAAGGTGGAGCAGAAGAAAATGGTCAGACTGTCCAAGATGCTACTTTATCTCACTTTCCTATAGGCCTTTTAAGTAGAACATAGGTCTTTAGGTAAAAGACTACCTGCAAAAGTAGTATGGAAGACAGAACCTGAAAACATGTATTAGCATGTCTTTCTAAGAGATCACATCACTATTCATGATGTGTTCCAATAAGTAGAAGGATAAGAAACATTACCTGTACTGGCTGCACACATGTGTATTAATCACACCCAGAAACATTATCAGTAGCAAAGACAAGATTTAGGTCACTTCATAGTTAGGATACAGCATTTTCTCAATAAACATTTAATTGCAGTATGTGTAACCTTGTGTGGTGTGTGTGCATATGTGTGTAAGCAACCCATAAAATCAATACTCAATTCCCACTACAACTTTTGAAAGGGAATGCTGCTCTGACTATGAAGGTTACTGCACAAAGTTGGTGTTAAAGTGGTTTTACACCCCATACCATGCTTGTGAATGCCAGTAAACACAGTGTCAAGGTTAAAATGAGCCTTGATGGGGGCTCCATTACAACAGCTGGAAAGAAAAATCAGAGCTTCCATTTTAAATGCATTTGCCTATTAATCTACTTGTCCAAAAAGACAGGTGGGGAAAATGATGTATTAATACTAATCTGAATACTAATCTGGCATGATTATATTGAAATTATTAGAACTTTAATAAAAGGTCATTTCAGCAATGAGTAGGGGGGAGGGAAAAACCATCCTGCACAAATAAATGCAGAAAGGCTGGATTAAGCTCTCCCAGTGCTATGATGAGGAGAATATGCAAATAAAAACATCCGAGTTGCTCTCAAACAGGAAATGAAAAACTGTAACACAACAAAAACATTTCCCAGAGCAGACATTCAGGCCCTCTGCCAGCTCTTTAAAAACACTGTTAATAACAGTGCAGTAGCTGTTCAGTATGGAAGCAGCTGTATGAAGTGAACAAATGGCACGTTACCGGAAAACATGAAGATCAGCAAATTATTATTATTTAAAGAAAGACATAATTTTTCTCAGAAAAAATGTGCTGTCCACAAAAGCAAAAATCAAATGGCCCTTTTATATCTGCAGCTTGTACAGCATTAAGTAGAATATGCAGCACATTGCAAGGCTTGCTAGCATCTCTTCACAAATACTTACTTCTTTAGGCAAGTTAACAGCCATGCAATGACATTGCAAAGACAATTTGTTTTGAGGTGCCGCCACACCTATACCTTTAAGGGCTTCTCTCTGTGGACTTCAAGATTCAAAAAAAAAACAAAACCGAAAAACATTTAAAAAATAGCTTAGTGGCTACTTTATGTTTATTCCAGATCTTGTGGATCTCAGCCTTATGCTGAGCAATGGCTTTGGAAAAACTTTGGAAAAAGCAATTTTTCAAGAACTTCTCCTAACATGAACTGCTCTACAGAATTTACAGAATATATTTGGACTGCAAACCCACTAATGTAGCTGAAAAAACCCAAAACAACAACAGTGCATTTAAAATCAAAGTAGACAGTGAAAGTAGCAGGGTATGTGTAACTTCTCAGCCCACTTTTGCTCTAAAACCTCAGGATTAACAGTAAGTGACAAGAATACTTGCTTCAGAAAGCAATGCTACATGGTCCACATATCAGAAAAGCGACAGATTCTGCTTCCCACCAAATTGTTAGATGATAACTCCTGCCTGAGAAATACCTGCTTTCCTGAGGATAGCCCTGAGGATAAACTATTTTTCAAGGACCGGAGCAGAATCCACCCTCAAATGTTTTCCCTTTCGTCACAGTACCTGGTCAGGTCTACCTCAGATTGGCATCCAAGTGCTCCGCACCAGAAGAGATGTCATGCTCTTTGCACAAGTAAGTCTCCTGCACTTAAGAATGTGGCTGCAATGACCTTCAGGTCAAATAATGAATGATGTCATATTAAATGAGTTCACAGCCAGTCTGACACAGACAATCCCTTCATGATAAAAAAAATCTTTTACAGCCCTGACCTTTTGGATTCATCTTCCCTGTCCATTTAGATGGTGGCAGCAATAACCGACTGATCTGCTGAAAGCCGCGGTCTCTTCCTTACCTGTAATAACAATCTCTCATCGCCTATGATGGCAGCTTGGTTCCAATCGATCACTTCCGAGAACGGCAGCTCCCATCCGTTGCTGAGCATGACCGGGACGCAGGCAGCCTGTGGGCACAGAGGCACGGCCACCATCAGCAGCTGCCCCACCACCAGGGCAGCTCCAGCTCTCCACCGGAACCACGACCCCGCTCCCTGCACAAGCTCAGGAGAGGCAACGTGGCGAGGAACACCAGAAGCCAGAAGCCACAGGAGGGCAGCCCACGTGTTTGTAGTTTTCCGTTTTGGGCTTATTCATATGTACTGAAAGGTGGGGTTTGCACAGACAGTGGCACTTGCAATCTGGTGCTTACTCTGCCAGATAAGGGCAGAGCTGTTCAATGCAACAGATGGAACACTGGGGAATTTAATACAAAATGATGGCCTTCCTTGCTGCTTTGTGAACCACTTAGCAGGGAGCAACTTCCCTAATTTTTACAGTACGTTGCTGACAACCTTACAGAAAATACAGACTGTATGTAACTCCTGACCACCTTTCCCATAAAGGAGTAAATTCTATATCCTGTTTGGTATCAACTTTCCAATCAGAGCCAAGTGCACAAATACAACTTGTATGTCATCACCTGTCTACAAAAATAAGAATTGTTGTATTTCCTGAAACAAACAAAAAGCATACACATTTAGTATCTATTTCTTACCAGTATTATCTGTCTAAACTAATTAAACTTTTATGAGTTTTACAAGTTTTTCTGCACAGTCTGTGAATACTTAGCAAATAGGTCAGCATTTCCATAAACAAATGATCGCCACTATGATCTGGTCAGCTCAATCACAACATAAGATCTAAACCAAAAACCTTCTGATGTATGAAGTAACCTGAAAAAATGTACTGTGTATGAAATAACTATGAAAAAATGTACCAGAGGATTTTTTATCAAGCCTGTGCTCTGGTTCAGTTCCTTTTGGATCAAACCAAGATTAAGTGCTCCAAATTTGGACCAGATTAGGGTTCAGGCCTCCCAAAAGATGGGATAAAGGAGAATCTTTCAGACTACTGTACCTTCCTTGAGAAGATGTATTATGCACAGCATCTTAGACTGGTCAAGTCTACATTACAGCACTGATTATTATGTGTAAACTGTGATCTTCTGTAAGGAATTACTTCAGTGCATGAAGAAAGCCAACCAGGAAACATTTAGCAATGTGTTTTGATGTTTAAAACATTCCACTAATGTGGATTAGGACTTTCAACATTACATGGATCCAGAAAAAAAACTGGGAATACATTATTATTGGTGAATACAGCTGCTATCCTTACAGTGAAATCCTCAGTTGTCTACATTTTATCATTGACCTGGAGCCCACAAGTTCTGTGTAGTGTGGTACACCCCCTGCTTTCTCCTCCTGAGATGATGTATCTAACAGAAGCTACATGACTTTGGGCCCAGAAAAGAGCAGAGCTGAGGAGTGCTCTTCAGGAGGATCTGAAGTGACTTGTCATCTCATACAAGCCAGTCCCACTTTTTCCTCTGAAGAGACTGGAAACAGAACAGCACTTTTTGGGCTATTAATCGTCTCTTTAGTATGAGAAAGAGGTGACAGTCCAGAACTTGGATCTCAAATTTGATTGCAGGTGTGGGGTTCAGTGGTTACACCTATGTGTCCAGAGCATGTAGGGTATCCAAAAAAACCCATCAAAGGCAGGCAGACATGACACAGGATCTACTGGAGTCCTTCTGCAGAAGCAGCAGAAAGCCAGAAGAGTTTTTGGGTACCCTGGGGCTTCTAAAATGACATAATATACCTATACTTAGGTATCTGAATCCTGCTCAGCACTGCAGTGAACAATTCTCTCTAACAGTGGCTAGGACATTTTATGGTTGATGATGAAAAGGGATGGGATGCCATTCATTAACAGCTTTACTGTCAGTGCTGTGACACTTTCCAAATGGCAAAACAACTGGAGGCAGGACCCTGTAAGGTGTGTTCACTTGCCATTTTACTGAAACCAAGTAGCTCCTTCTCTCCACTCCAGCCCCCATGGAAATCCAGATGCCAGACCTACAGGGGAGTTGCAGCACCTCACAAAATGTTCTCTATGTCTGACTGAAGATACAGGGCCCCAGGATTAAGCTGATTTGCAAAAAAACCAAAAAACATCCCACCAGAGAGGCAGAAGGTGGAGTAGGCAGGTGTCAGGCTTGACCACTGAGCTGCCTGGCCACCTGGACTCTGGGGCCCTTTTGTACTGCCATGTGCTGCTGGCCCATAGTAAAAAGGGGACCACTAAACAAAACACTTTTTTAAAAGGTGAAGGATGTTCAGGTGCTGTCCCAGACAGCACACAAGCCCCTTGAGATCAGCTTATATCCACCTTCATGTGAGGCTTCCATCTGGAGCTTTACCAACTTCAGGCCACCTTCTGTGTGTTCAGCAAGCACCATCTCAAAACGGGCAATGCATAAGCAGGTCTGTTTTGTCTAAGCGAAAACAAAAAGCTATTTTTACTGCCCTAGGGCCTACATGTAAAGGCCAGTGCCTCCCAGGGGAAGGCTCACAGCTTGACAAAATACTGTTCTAAACCAATCTCTTAGCCTCACCACATCCAGGGAAACCCTTTTCCTGGAGATAAAGCAATCCAACCTTCAGATGAGTTCAGTGCCTCAGCCCCTCCTGGGAAGAAGCTGCCAATTGCTCCAGAAGTATGAATAGAGGCTTTCGCAAAGTGGATTACTGTCCACTAGGGAAATGAAACACATTTCCCTCCTCCCCACCTCCCTGCTATTGCACACTGAATTGCAGCCAGCGTAGTTCACTGCTTTAAACTGCAGCTCTTACCTGCAAAGCTTCCAAAAACCTGAAAGAGCCAAGCCTGCGGCCACGGGGAACCAGACAGAAAGTGGCATTGTGCAGCATTTCACGGTAATCATACCTAACAAGAACAGGGGAGAAAAGAGAAAATTCAATTAGTGGTGAGTCCTAGAGTAACTGGGCGTGAAAATGCAAACAGCTGTTGAGACACATCTGGATAAAATCATCCCCAACCAAGACCGTTCAGTACCAGGTTAACTATCTCCCTCTATGAACGTGTGTCAGCCTCCTCTCCGGCCCCTTTTTGTTCATCCTCAGGAGCAACCACCATGGGAGAGGGCTGGAGAGAGTGCTAATGAGAGTGATAAGGAAGAAAGTAATTTTGCCTTTGCAATAATGAGCCGGTTCTGTATAAACTGTGCATGACTTCCAAGAACAAACTCACATTAAATATTTTGATACCCACTGCATTGTTGCAGTATTTCTGTTACCCTGATTTCTATTCAGATTTAGTCAAAGCCATGCATAACTGTGTTCACAAGAGGTTTGTACAAAGCAAAAAAAATATACAAACTATGCCAAAAAAATATTTCCTTATCAAGCAGGCACTAAAAAGGGATGGGGGGCTACAATGACTCACTTGGTGGTTATTGTTAAGTGTCAAGAGAGAAATAAACAACCAGATTTTGGCAATTAATCATACAGCTGCAATGATCCATGCTCCTCTGAATGAAAGTGCTGATAGACATTTCTGGGTTTTTTTTTTTCCCAATTACATCAATCACCACAAAATCATTCACCAAAATCACACATCAAATCCTACCAGTTTCCTGGCTGTTATTAGCAAACTGTACTTCTGACAAGCCCACTGAACACCATCTATTCTCCAGTGTCCTGGACTCTGCACATAGATGCTATTTTGACAGCAACTTGTACCACATAAATTTTTTGACACCAATAGTCTAATTTTACCATGTCCTGCAGGCAGAGCAAGTTTTTTTTTTGTATGTGTGTCTAGGTATATATATATATTATATTTTATATACAAAGAAGTCAGGATCTATGTTTGTATTCTCACACTAGCCAGACAGATGGGGGTAAGCCAATTTTCAATTATAAGCTCTGTCTTTAGGAAGAGACATCTTGCAAAGGCCCATTTGCTTAAACAAGCGTGCATAGCTAATTTGCACAAGAAAAGGTCACTGTGAATGGATTAAGATTATCTCCACTGAGAGTAAAATAAAACCCCTCATTGCATTAATTAAAACTACAAAACAGACTTCAAAGCCCCTTTTTTCTTTTGAATCCTATCTCAACTTTGGTTAAAATACATATATACATATGCCATCTGAGTGGTAGCTATTTATTTTTCTCTGTGTGGGATAGAGATTGGCAGCCATGTCCCAGCTCACCAGTCAGCACTGACACAGCATACAGGGGAAAATATTAGGACTGGAATACCAAAAAATAAAAAAAAAAAAAAAAAAAAAAATTAAAAAAAAAAAATTTGAAAAAAAATTTAGAAAGTTGCCATTTTTAAGCACTCGTTTTTTATATATTGAGAGGTCTGAGGCTCATTGTTTTTACTGTGTATTGTAGGACAGCAAATGTTAATAAATACCAAAAATAGAATACCCTGTAGGGCTAGAATATACCAGTCAGAAGTTCCCCATCATTAACTAGCTAAAAATGTAAAGTCCTGTTAATACCCTGGAATGCAATATTGCCCACAAAACATTGATGGCAATTCCAGAACACAAAGGAAAGCAGAGAGCAAGGCCACTGCAAGTGAGTCTTCCATATCCCAGTGACATCCTGTACTGGGCACCTTTTCTTTCATATCTAATTTGCTGGTATTAGGATAGATTTATAAAGGGATAAAAAAGGAAGAGGACTTTGTTGACCATTTTCCACCTCAAAACCAGTCAGCATCTTGCTCCCATTTTTGAGCCTTTTAAAACTTAACGTGATTGATTGCAGAGGTCTGTAATAAAACAGTTCATGGTCATAAAGCAATTTATCTACATCATATGTACACAGAAAGCCCAACCTTGATGTATGGGCACAAAATGTCTACTTGCTGCAGGGAGGACCCACAAATACAGAAGGAACAGATCCAGAGTAAAGTAATATCCACCAAGAGCTGCTGAAGTGAATGAACCGCACCAGAGATTCTACTGAACAAATTTCCCTGCCATTTCAACCAAATGCTCAATGGGATCTTTGAGCACAGTGATGGCTACTTTAAACCCCTCAGAGACCACTCTGGGATCAAGCATCTATTTGAAATCTGCAAACATGAAGTGCTATTTTTATTCCTATGAGTTCATGGGTAGCATGCCAAGCAATGGGAGCACTCTGCCTTCCCTGGAAGACAGAAGATGGACCAGTATGTTTAAATACAAATTTGGGAACACTTCTTGTGCAATACATGTAACCAGCCCCAAATACACAAGCATTTCTGTGAGGCTGCAAGCATAGCTTTGTAATTGGAAGGATCACTTAAAGAAGAAATAATGTACATGTACCAAACAGTATTTCAGAATCAAACTTGCAGCAGAGACCATTTAATTTCTTTTTCTCCAGACTGTCATGCAGCATTTGGAGGAGACCTTGGCCACAATGTCACTTGGCAAATGAAGCTCCAGCCCACAGCCCATGCTGAGGACAGAAGGCTCAGGGCAACTCTCACTTTCAGGCTCCTTCCCATTCAGCCCAGACAGAACCATGCACACAGCATTTGATTTTTGCCAGCATTCTGTCAGGGACTGCAAAATGCTTATGTACATTTTTTTCCACATAGTAGAAAGTATACAGCAGTACACTTGAAACCATCTCTACACTTCCCTTAACTCAGACTTAAAATACTTTCAGTGAAGTGAGTGAAATAATCTCTATTATTAAAGGTAAGTATCTGAGTTAAGTATTTGCTGGACTTTAAATTTCTTCTTCCCATGTCCAGTAGAGAAATCAGAGCTGGCACAGACTTCCAGGAACACCCTCTCAGCAAGAATACCGATGCTGTACATTAAGTACCAATCTGGCATTTAATGCAAACAGTACTGCATCAACAACAGACTTTATTTCCCCACTATCTCAACTGATTAATCTCAACAAAACCTCAGGGAGACAATCAAGTATGAGAACCCCCACTCACAACTGGAGGAGGCATCATAAGCTATAGAGAAAATAGTCAAGTGTTTAGAAGAGGTTTTTCTAGGGTTTCCTCTTACTGTTCTCCCCAGTACTGGGGGTTATGTCTGTTTCCAGAACTACTTATTAGCATTAGCTGGTAACATCTGAAGATGGCAGGGACATTTGTTATGGTCTTCCAGCTAGCACTGCTGTGGTTTCTGCAAACTTGGAGCTGCCAGTGTATGTGGACAGCTCTCCTTTACCTGTCTACTGAGACCCTCTTTTTTTTACCCATCTGTGGAGGTTTTTCAGGCTCAGGGCAAAGACCAGCACTGCAGAGCACTGAGGAGGGGCTGGCTGGGCACTTCCTCCTTAATTGTGCTGCTTCAGTGTTGCATTACTTCTGGCACTTTCTTCTCCTTCTGGCAGTTATCTTCCCTAGCATTTACTGTAGAAAAGCTTTTAGAGGAGTCCTCTGCTTTCCTCAGAAGGTATTTATTTCCAGAAAGCTCCAGGTTTCCACATTAGAAGACTGGCGGGGAGTGGGGGCACATGCTTATTGCTCATACATTCCTGATTCCTTCATTCTGCACGCTTGCACAGAGGTAACATTTTACTGCCAATTTTAGGGTCGGCTTGGCCTGGGTCTCAGCTGCAGCACTCAAATATGTTAAAATCCAAAATGCATATGCCTTAAAAATGACAGTTGGGTCTTCAAAACTAAAATAGCTACAGATTTAATCCAAAGCTGGCATCCCTCTGTAAGTATTAGAGGCATGTTTTATTGGCTTTCAGGCTTCTTTTTGTAATGATTAAGTATACCTTGTTCACAGCTAGTACCTTTTTAGGCAGCATAAAAGAATAGCTCTCTTTGCAATCAATTCTAATTTATACACAACTTAATTGAATTATTCCCTCCCTGCCACCACCCGTAGTTGAGGAAATATGTTTGGCCCCATCGATCACACAGGTATAAACACTGCAATGCCGTGTGGGCAATTATCCAAAGGAGAAACACTGCCTGGCCAAATGCTCCCACCATTTTAACTCCTTGATCCAACACACAGCGTCTGTCTTCCCCCATCCTGCCTTTTTTCTTTCTTTTTTTTTCTGGTGTGCCAACCATGTCAATCAGCACATGGATTAGGAGGCTGTTTGGGATTCCTGGTTCTGCATTATCCCAAGGAGCCCTGTCAGGCTGCAGAAGCTCTGCAGAGACTAATCAGCCATGCCATACATTCCTTCCTACAGCTTAAGCATTTCCCCATGTCAGTACACTGCAGAGATTATAAACTAGCCTGGGAAACATTTTCACTACAATTTTAGTACAAACTATTTTTTTGAAAGCCACATCTTCATCACCACTGATTGAAGAGAGGTCTAAAATATAAAAAAGACTGTTTAGACCAGCAGGTATATCTAGATGCAGTGATTATCATAACACTTTATCTAGCTATATGTCACCTGTCCTGTAGACAACATGTTTTTGTACAGGATACAATCACCATTCCCATTTCATAGATGTAAAACCTGAGACACAAATGACTGGTGGCTTCTCCAGCAGCTAGAGGGACCTCGGGAATGCTAACCACAGCATCTTGATCTTACTTCTTCCTCTCTGGTGATGCAGCATTCACTGAAATCCAGCTGCATGTTAAGGCTATTAAAATTCAGATGGAAATGCAGGAGCAGAACCCAAGCCAAATACAACAGGTTTAACTCAAATCAAATGCAATGGGTTTAACCCAGCACTACATATTTTAACAGTGCCACACATAATCCATCTTTTGGAAGATGCTGGAGCTCATCTTTGGCAGGGATTATCAGCACATTCCACTGTAGATGTCAGATGTGACTAGAGCTGCTTTTTTACTTCCTGAGCCAAAAAATTGTGATGGCACTTAACCAACTATGTCCAGAACTCCCTCTCTGAATCTACAAGCCCATGAATGCACCTTCATCTTCCAGAAGTTTCTGTATCATATG